CTCTGAGAAGGGCTCAGGGAGCTCTTCTCCATGTTCACCCTGAGGCCCGACCGGGCCGCGTGAGAGAGAAGGCGAGCAGTGTCCTGTGCCACCTGAAGCTGGGATGGCGCACAGATCAGCCAATCGTCCAAGTACGGCAGTATTTTCATGCCCTGTGATTGCAGGGGGGAAAGGGCAGCAGCAACGCACCTTGTGAACACCCGTGGGGAGAGGGAGTCCAAATGGGAGCACCCTGAACTGGAAGTGACCGCCTTGAAAGGCGAAGCGAAGAAACCGCCTGTGGTGAGGCACAATGGGAACATGGAAATAGGCATCCTTCAGGTCGACAGGCGTGAACCAGTCTCCCCTGGAAACTGCCCGAAGGACGTCTGCTGTGGTCAGCATGTGAAATGGTAACACCTTCAGGAACTTGTTTAGTCCCCTCAGGTCTAGGATTGGGCGCAGTCCGCTGCCTCTCTTTTTTACAAGAAAGTAAGTTGAGTAGAACCCCCCGGGTTGTGACAGGAGGTCCACCCTCTAGATTGCACCCTTGACCAGGAGCGCGGCTAACTCCTGGTTCAGGGCTAGGGATTTTGCCGGATTGGTGATACTGGTCATTTTGACCCGGCTGGAGGCTGGTGGCCGGCGTCGGAACTGAAGCTTGTACCCCTGGGTTAGGGTGGACACCACCCAGGGGTCTGAAGCATGAGCTGCCCAGTAGCTGATGTGCTGCTGGGAGAAATAACCAACGGCCGGCCAGGAGACATCATCTCCTGTACCCCCTGCCTCTTGAGGCTCTGGGGGGGCGACTGGTAGTCCCCAAGTTCGGAGGTTGTCTAGGGGGGACGTAGGTAGGGTCTCGTGGGTAGCGGTCCGGCCTCCCAGCGGTACGCTGAGGCCTGTGGCGGCTACTGGTGTGAGCTGGGGGCTGAAGATGGCCCCGGGGGGATGGAGTAGGACCCCTAGGTCTGCGGGGTGCGGGCATGCCCCTGCGAAGACCAGAGAACTGCTGCCTGGTCTGGCTAGCTTCAACAGTCCGCTGAAGCGCCTGTATAGCAGCTGACCCAAACAGCTCACCAGGTTCCACTGGGATAGTACGGAGGGTCCTCCTACATGTCTCAGACAGGGGTGACTGCGCCAGCCAAACCTGGCGGCGAGTCTGGACCAGGGTGGACATCAGCCGTCCAAGTTCCCTCGACATGAGCGCAAACGCCTGCAGTGAGGCATCACTGAGGCTGGTGGCGGAAGCGTCGGAAGTAGCCTGCTGCAGAGAAGCTGAGAGGGCAAGCATGAGGTGGGAGAGGGAGTTGCCAATACGACCCATACGCGCTGCTGTATCATAAGCCCTGGATAACATGTCATCTGTGACCCGACATTGGGGTCGAGGGCACCTGGCATCGGTCCTCAGGATCTCCTCAGGGGAAACTATGAGGGACGCAATAGTCGGCTCAACAGCTGGCATACGGGCGAGGCCAAATTTTGCTGCGTCCTGCATGGCCGCCAGGGTTTGGCCATCTGATGTAAGACGGGACAGAGTCTCTCCAGCATGCATGTGGTGGGGGCGAGAACATGCCTGAAGAAGGCACTCGCAGGCTGGGGTTCCGGCTGCTGCATATCTAACTGCAGGCGTGCCAGTGCCATGCGAATGACAGACCCCATGGAGCTATCGACTGCCCCTTCCGAAGAGCTCTGAGCTGAGGAACGGGAGGCAGGTCCAGAAGCATGGGAGGGCCGCTCTTCACTGTACTCAGTAAAGAGATTGGCTGACACTGCCAGTGATATAACGTCCTCTTCTGAGCCAAGCTCAGCCGCGGGTGGATCTGGTGCTTCAGCCCCCCCTACACTAGGTTGGAGGGCCAGTAGAAGCAACTTCATTTGAGCTAGCTCGGAGGTCAGCAGATCCACTCTAGAAGACAGCCCGCTGGGTTTAGGCCTCTTGGAGGGAGCCCCTGTGGTTTCTGTGGCCCTGCGCTTGGAACGGGTAGGTTGGGCTGGATTCAACTACCCTGAAAGGGGGAGGTCAACCATACCCGTCAGGTGTTCGCCATCGGCGAACCTAGCAGCCCTTACTGCTTGAGGCATGATGCCACAGTTCATGCATGGGTTCTCAGAAAGGCCTTCCCTCAGATGCTCAAGGCCAAGGCAAGAGGGTCATCAGGCTGTAGAGGAGCCATACAGGTCCTACAGTCGGGAAAGTCAAACATGGCCGACTCTCTAGGTCAGTCTGAGCGGGACGCTCTGCTGAATGTTTGTGAGAACAGGCAGGGGTCAGTGAGAGGGGAGCGAGGACACTCTCTTCACTAGAATAGTTGCTGCAGATATTGGTGTCCCACCAGTTAGCTTGAGCGAGAGCACTCTGCCACTGTGGAAACAGGTCAGAAAAACAGTCCTTATAGTGAGAGGGGAGCGAGGACATTCTCTTCTTTGACGGTTCCCTATCTGGGTTACTTATGTATGTTCCTTTAAGACAGCAGGTACCAGAGGTGGTGATCGCCTAAGTGGAGGCACCTGGGCCCGGTGCGCTTCCTCTATAAGGCTCCGCCTTCCTGGCAACCTGGGGGCGGCTCTCCTATCACTCCGTGGAGGAAGGAGAACGGCTTGTTCCAGCCACCTTTTTAGTTGGACCCATGGTTTATGGTTAATAAACTCTGTGCTTTTTGGCAAACTGTCTGCGTCTCCATGATTGGGTCATGGCTGTCGGAGCCAGGTCGTGACACTTCACTAAGATAGCTGCTGCAGATATTGGTGTCCCACCAGTTAGCTTGAGCGAGAGCACTCTGCCACCGTGGAAACAGGTCAGGAAAACAGTCCTTACAGTGAGAGGGGAGTGAGGACACTCTTCACTTGGACAGTTGCTGTAACTCTTGGTGTCCTACCAGTTAGCCTGAGCGAGGGCACTCTGCTAACTGTGATATCCGCTAACTGATATGGCCGTAATGTTTACAACAATCAATGGAGTATTAGCTTAGTCTAGTTAGCCGGAGTGAGAACGCTCTGCTAACTGTGATAGCCGTGTAAGGAATCAATGGGCACAATGTCAACATCGATCTACTCTAACTAGCATCTCCCAAGTTAGCTTGAGCGGGATTGCTCTGCTCACTGTGAAGGGCGGCCCGACAGTGTAACTCAACGCTCACGTTAGCACGGCACTTGATTAGCTAGAGCGGAAGTGCTCTGCAACCCGAGGAAAAAAATGAACAATGGTTATAGACAATGTTAGTCGATCTCACCGATTGCTGTTTTCGCGATTTGGGTGGCCCCTATCAGACTGAGTCCGGGGCTCGATGGTCCGCACGGCGAAAAACGCCGTTTCCTCCTAAGAGGGACAGCTTGTCGCAGCCTTTGGAGGGCGAAGATCCGCAACTCCGACCAGTGGTCACAAGGCTACCCTGACAAACTCTAATATATCTTGATCGTAGACAAAATATATATTTTTTTCTACTACCATGGTAGTTAACCTGCGTAGCGAGAAGATGAAAAAGGACTGAACTCAGGAGGACACCGTAACTTATAGACGAGGGGGGTCATCCGAGGTCACAAGTGACTTTGTTGATATAAATATTCGACCTGCGCATGCGCGAGACGGAAGATATCCAGTGTTAAGCACTGCCTCTGGCGGTCAGCAAGGATGAAATAGAACTATCATTATGCATTGTCCAAAAAAATTGCAACAAAAATAAGTGGCAAAACTGGCTTTTGATATGTGGATGCATACTTAATGCTCCTTTTATCAGAATTATTTTAAATTCAAAAGATGTGATGTAAGAGAGTTAAGCACGTCTCATCAAGCTGTACTGTCTGATCCTCATTATGTGATTGCATAAAACCACTGCTCTGTTACGGACGGTTTGTTCTGGACCCAAACGCAGACACCGGGACAGCAGAGTTGGTGAAAAAAGGGTTTTTATTTTGCTTGTCTGTGGAGCCAGGCGAACATGCAGGTGGAGCATGCAGGTGGGGCATGCAGGTGAAGCAGCGAGGCAGTGTGTGCGGTGGCGGTGTCTGGGCGGCGACGTGGCACGGGAATCGCTGAGGCAGAGGGAAAACACAAGTTAGTTGAAAACGTCAAAAAGGCTAACTTGCTCTAAGACGAATTTTTAAACTCAACGGGCCGAGGTTGTAGCTACCACTGAGCTGAAGGAACAATCTGGCGATGAGACTGCAGGAAGCCGGGGTATTTAAGCTGAAGGTGATGGTGTAATTGTTGTCAGGTGAGGAGATGAGCCCAGGTGCCGGATGATTGCAGTCGCACTCAAGCCACACACACAGAGGGGAGACAAGCTGAGGTCGCAGTGGAGCCGTGACATGCTTATTACAACATGCCTCCTCTGACACTCACGGAACAGAGACGAGAGGGGAGTTGTATCCCGTCTTGTAAACACAGTGTATGTTTAGCAATTATTTTACCTTTTCAAATGCCTGCAGAGTTACTGCCTTCTGTGATTTCCCCAAGGTGCCGAAGGACAGAGTCCAGCAAATAACGTCTGTGCACCTGAGTCGATGTTAACGTTGTGTTACTTAATAAAGCCTTTCCCAACAGACTCCAGTCTGTTGATGAAGGGAACAAGGGACAAAAGTAAGTGCAGGGAGATAGGAAACAAGTGCAAATTATATAAAATCAAATGACATATCTGTGGCAGCAGACACATAAAAATAATAATAATAATTGTCAGTTTATTTAATGAGATCCCATCCCCCTCTGGCTCATGTGCCTTCATCTGTTCTCTAAAGTATGGTGGTACAGGAAAGATGACAAAATAGAGCTCAAGCATGACATGTGACATCAGCAAGATCAAATATCTGAAAAGGGATGGTTGACTGCGTGTGCAATGAAAGGTGCAAATCTGTAGTGTATCCACTTCTTGGTAAAACAAATAACATCTGTGACTTTGCATCACAGATTCTGAAAATGGACACACTCAGTATTACGGGTCTGCAACGCACTGCATTGTTTTGTTAGCTGTAACAAATAAGGTTTTTTTTTAAAGTGCAGACAAGTACAAAGACACATATAGGAGAATTCATGCAAAGTAAGACAGGGACAGTCGCAAAGCGGACATAAGAACACTGAGGAAAATAACATGGTAATTTAACCTTTTATTGAAAATGTGTTTAAATGGTTGCAAATTCAAATTGCTGGCAGTATTCACAGTTGATTAATTCTATTTTTGTGCCGTTTATTCGTCACATCCCCCATCATGCCTTAATAGTGCAAAAAAAAAAATTCTATAAAATATATATTTTAACATTACGGTACACGACAGGCCATTTCAAAGTGAGATACTGAAGTTCGGCATATGAAAATTGGTGTAATGACAATTTTTCAACATTGTTTATCAGCGTCATTGACTAAATACACTAAAGTACCATGCACCAAGCACCATGAGAGCCGTGTTCATGTGGACAGAATATCTCCACTATTGGCTGCACTCTACAGAACATGCTGTTCATTGCTCTCTTCATTGCAACCGGGAGATTCCATCTGAATGCAGGTTGAAGAGTTCGCCGACTGAATCGACACACGGCAACGGTGTTACAGAGGGAGGAATGAAGGACATGAAATGAAGGAATCCATTAATGATTGAAAGACAGATGAACTAGGAAGAAAGTGTTGAAGGTGCGTAAACAGGAATAAAATGTTTTTATACGCCAAGTGAGCTGGTTAGGCCCATCACACAGAGAACCGGATTCACTTATACATTATTCTGAAAATGGATTCTTAACAGCAGAGTCTGAGCCGAGCTACACAGGCACTCAATAGAGTGGATGGACTTTTCTGGGAGAGTTTCCCAGAAATGTTGTTAGCAATATTGCTGTGAAATTGTACTTAAAAATTACAATTGATGTACTAGTATTTATTCATGATTAGATATTTCCATTTGTAAGATGCAGGCAGCAAATCCAGATTGCGGTCATACCGCTCAGTTCGACCTTTTCTGGTATAGATTATTTCATCTCTCACATGTACGGGGGAATTTCTGTGTCGACCCAGTTTCCACTAAAAATACCAACAACTCTCTCTCTGCTGCCTGATGTCGTTGACTCTCCCTCCTGTTGGCGTCTCTCCACCACGTAGACGGGCAAAGTGAGTTTCAAGGTCAGGAAACTGCCGCCGCACTGAAAAAAGGGTCCTGTGTTTTAAGGGCCAGTTTTGTCATTCTTTAAAATATGTGAGTGAATGCAGCAGTTTTATCTCCAGTATGCACGTGTGTGTGTGTGTGTGAGAGAGAGAGAGAGAACTCAGATTTTCTCTTCATCTTCCAGAGAAAGAGTATGTGTGTGTGCGTATGTGTGTGTGATCAAAAGTGTTATCTTTTTTTTTAAGCTCTTCTGTGTGCATATGCATGTCTCCACACTCTTTGGTGTGTGTGTGTGTGTGTGCGTGTGCGTGTGCGTGTAGTTATCTTGCCTGAGCAGAGTTCACTCTGACAGGGAATCGAACTGCCTGCTCGTGTCTCACTCTGCTTTGTTGCTCATCGCATCATCAAAACTGACAGCTGCCGTCAAATAGTGTGGCTTCCTTCTCCCCTCTCACACACACCCTCCACTCTGCCCTCCGGTCTTCTCTCCTGCTCAAACACACTCTTATTGCTTCCTCTGTTTCATTCCATCCTTTCACCAGACACCTCGTTGTAGCTTTTTTTTTGAGACAGTAATTTGTTTTCACAGAGTCAAAATCCACACAATGTAAAAGTAAAGGTTCAAAATATCGATTATATATCGAAATATCCAATGTTCTGTCACTGTTTGTATCCGATGCACTTTGAATCGGGTCTAATTATTCTCAGGGTCTCTACACACATGGGGTTTCACTGGCCTTGGATCTGTTTTGGAAAGGTCATCTATAATAAGAATTATTTTTTGCACTGGGTTTTGGTAGGTTTTTCGCAGGTGAAAACCTCTAATCTGCAACGACCACTACAGTAATGTTTCATTGAATGAATACAAACCACAATTAGCTAAAAACCATCGAGACTGCAAGTGTATCAGATGTGTTTTTCACTTGTACGTTACACACACACAGCTTGTATATAAGAAGTGGATGTAGTCATCGTGACGTCACCCATTGGTTTGTGGACTGCCGTTTTGAAGCCTTGAGTTCGGCAATTTGGGTTATAAATTAAGGTTTAAATAAATACATATCATATAAATTAAGTGAGAATTAGTCATTCTCTCATAGACTTCAATACAAACAGACTTCTTTTTGCAACCAAGAGAATGGAAGTTTAAGACACATCTGCATTGACTTCCCTCGGCAGAAATGGAGGTTCCCGCCTGGTCACACACAGCAGACCATTTCATGCAGAGCAGTGTTATCATTTGCGGCCCCTACCGGTCAAGAGTAGTGAGAATTAACATTTATTTTTACAATGAACATTTCAAATGTTGAAGGCACATACAAATGACAAGGTAGAGCAAAATGTAAACCATACGAATGGGCAGAAAGTCAATAGCAGTACAAAACTAAATACAAGTAACAATAACAAATAAAAGGTGTTTTGAGAAAGTGTGAATGCACTACAACAACAAAAAGTCCGTCACCTGAAATATTATGCAGTTTGCAGCAACAGTATGTGAGATTTGCCGTGGACAGACACAGAGATGCACTCTCACGCACACACTTAAGCACATATCCTGTGATGATCCTCCTGGCGATGTGAGAATCATTGCTCTATTAGCATTAACCGCTAACGGCCAACTAACTTGCACCGCTTCTCACGTCTCCGAAACCTAAACGTTGTACACATACTGCTGGAAACCGCTCTACTTACTGGAGTGATGGTGGTATCTCCAAAGTCTGCTGAGGATAAACCTGCTCTTAATAAGCTAAGATCTCTTATTTTACAACAACCAAATATACACTTTATCTTCCTCATCAAAAGTCAGCCAGGTGATGTTTGTGCAAAACAGAAACCTTCAATAGCTAAAGCAGCACAGCTTTCCAAGGTGCAGATGTGATCACATTTGTCATCAAGTATCTCTCATTTGGCTTTTCTTTATTTTTTTTATTTTCTCTCTGTCATAAACCGATCCAATACCAATCCCCGCGGTGCCCTTTCTTTTGTGTTAATATTCCCATGGTTATGTCACCCGACGGTGCAGAGATAGATCAAGAAGTGTATGCGAGTGCATGCATATATCCACTCGGCATATTGCAGTCATCTGTCTTGTGTATGATCCAGTAATTATGATCCAACAGACTGCCAGAGAGAGGGAGAGAGGTAGGGAGGGTCCACCGGAGGGCATGAAATATAACCAACATGAGACTGAAAGTAAGAGCTGGATTGGCAGTGATAAAAGGGGAAAGAAAAGTCTAGAGCGGTGGTAGAGTGATGATAGAGAGACAGAGGCAATGAGACGGACAGAGGAAGAGAGGATAAAAAGAAAAAAAGCCTTCTTACACCTTCTTTCCTCTTGAATTACAAGTTCCTCTCCCGTATCTTCCTCCACTCTTCACTGTAATAATTCCAGTCTTGACATTAGAATATGAATCACTTCCACCGTTCGGTTGAGCTGTTAATATTCTCTCCTTCCCTCTCCCAAAACGTCTCTCTACGTTTGAGTGTATGATCTGCACATTCAGAATTAAATATTTATATCCAATATGCTTTTCTTTTTTCAGCTGCACCATTACTTATGAAAATAAAACATACTTTTCGCATTAATTATGAAAGAGCTCCATCGACATGAAATATTCAACATGTCTCGTATATCATATTGTACGCATTTTGAAACTGTGAAATCGTTGGATTTTTACATGTGAATACGTGCAGAATAAACTAAATGTCCATTTAATCAAACCAAAGATGATATTGTCTGACTTCCATCACCAGCTAATCAGAACAAACATGTAGAAGTGTAAAGCCTAAATTATACTAAATAATACACGCACAGCTTTCATAGATAACACTATCCACACTGCACAGCTGTTAGGCTCCACAGGATGTACGTTTTCAGATGGAACACGTTTTGCACCTTGCAGCCTGTTTGAGTATATCTGAGACTGTAGCTAACAACACATCCTGTATGCCTCATGAGGACGTCGTACATCACAATAATAAATGAATCTTGAACTACAGCGTGTATTCCATTTGTTTGTTGAATTGTTCCTATTAATACTGTATTTCTTGTATTTTTTAGAAGGATGCCATTTATTATATTTGTTTACAGTGGTTCTTGTTGGTCTCATGATGATCCCAAACTGGTTTTCACACCTTTTTATTAAATCATTATTACCCACTGTATTTGTGATGGGCTCAGCCTTAAAGCTGGAGTGACGATGCTGGCATCACATGAAACTAGATGAATCCATCGGTACCAACCTTGTCATGCTGGCTTTTTGGGAAGTGGACTGAACAACGCAACAAAGCGAGGCATCATTTTGGGGACGGAAAATTGGTATGTGTGATGGTGTAAAGTCCCCATTGTAGCCATTTCACATAGTGAGACCATTTTTAAAAACTTGATGTAAAATGACATGTTTACAGGTTCGTAAAAACTGCACATTTACAAACTAGTGACCCAGGGCCATGCGGGGGATGTACGGC